ACAAGTGCACATGGGACATTTTCAAAGATAGACCACATGTTAGGACACAAGCTAAATCTCTACAAATTCAAGATTGAAATCATATCAAGCATCTTCTAGAGCCCTGGCCGGTTTGGCTCAATGGAGTGTCGGCCTGCGGACTGAAGGGTCCTGGGTTCGACCCCGGTCAGGGGCATGTGCCTTGGTTGCAGGCACATCCCCAGTGGGGGGTGTGCAGGAGGCAGCTCATCAGTGTTTCTCTCATTGATGTTTCTGACTCTCTATCCTTCTCCCTTCCTCTCTGTAAAAAATCAATAAAATATATTTTAAAAAAAATAGTGGAAGAAAATGCAAGGAACAGAGAAAATTGTCAAGCAAACAAAAATAAACATTGCAGAAAGATCTGAGAAGATACTGTATTCGTGAAACAGAACAAAGGATTATTTTAAACAGGAATTTGGAAAGCAAAACAGAACTCTTAGAAACAAAAGTATGAAAGTACACTTTTTGAAAAATTCAACAAGGGTTTGGAAGAGGTCGTTGAAGAAATCTCTCAGAAAGCAGAATTAAAAGGCATAGAGATGTGGAAATAGGAAAGAGCATAGATAAGGAAATTAGAGAATTAACCCATGAGGTCCAACATTTAATTACAAGAAGTCTCATTTTATTTTATTTTTCAATTACAGTTGACAGTCAATATTATTTTTATGTTAGTTTCAGGCATGCAGGAGGCAGCCGATCAATGATTCTCTATCATCACTGATGGTTCTGTCTCTCTCTCTCCCCCTCCCTTCCTCTCTCTGAAATCAATAGAAATATATTTTAAAAAGTAAAAATAAGAGCGAGCGCACAGATTGCGTGGCACGGTGGACAAGGTGAGAGGACTGTTACAGGGATATGGTGGGGCTGAGCCCTGGTCATGCATGGAAGGAAGTCAGCGGAGCCTATGGAAAGTTGAAAAGCAACTAGCAGCCGCTGCATGATCTGAACACGCAGACGGAAGGTCCAGAAGCAGCAGCTAGAAGACGGGGAAGTGGCTATTTTGGGGGAGTAGGAATCAAGAACAGAAAGGGTGAGGTCAAGAATGGCTGTATGCCACTGGAAGCCTGGAGTAACCTTTGACTTTTTCTTTCTTTTTTTTAAAATGTACTTTTAATGATTTCAGAGAGAGCAAAGGAGAGGGAGAGAGAAACATCAATGATGAGAGAGAATCACTGATCAGCTGCCTCCCACACGCCCCACACTGGGGATCAAGCCTACAACCTGGGCATGGGCCCTGACTGGGGATTGAACCGCGACCTCCTGGTTCATAGGTTGTTGCTCAACCACTAAGCCACGCAGGCCGGGCATCTTTGACTTTTTCAACCATTATTTTGGTCAAAAGACAGATAAAATAACTGAAAGCTCCATGCAATCCCAGTCCATGCGCAATGCCCATTAGGATAAACTGGTAAAGGAAAAAAATAGTGCAGAGACAAGTAAAAAGATGCCTAGTGCCTGGCTGGTGTGGCTCAGTGGTTGAACGTTGGCCTATGAACCGGGAGGTCACGGTTTGATTCCAGGTCAAGGCACATGCTTGGATTGTGGGCTCCATCCCTCTGCATACCCCTCACTGGGCTCCATGCCTAGCCCTAGCTTGTTTGGCTCAGTGGATAGGCCTGCGGACTGAAGGGTCCCAGGTTCCATTCCCAGTTAGGGCACATGGCCAGGTTTCGGGCTCTGTCCCCAGTGAGGAGGGCATGCAGGGGGCAGCTGATCAATGATTCTCTCTCATCATTGATGGTTCTATCTCTCTCTCCCTCTCCCTTCCTCTCTGAAATCAATAAAAACATATTTAAAAAAACAACAATGACTAGCTATATTTTACTGCTTGTATGGTTTATTTCCCTCCAAGTCTGTTATGAAATGTCTAAAACATACAGAACAATTGGAAGACAACTATATGGATAGCCATAAGCCCACCTACTACCTGGTGTCCACACTAGTGATATTTTTGTTGTGTTTGCCATTGGGGTAGGTGGGTACTCATTCGCTGAGTGAACTGCAATGAGCCACAGAAATTTGTTTGCTTCAAATGCAAGCGTGGAGACGTCATTTGCCTCAAGGCCATTGAATGAGGGTCCAAGAAATAAGCTACATTCGAGTTTCAACCCCTTAGCAAGGTGAAATTCACTGACTTACCTGAAGGGCAGAGAATGCAAAGCCCTTGGCGTCGATGCTGGGGGCATTAAGGGGCAGTGGCGGTGACCCTCACCTCATCCCCCTCATGGGGTTGGTAGTCAAAACGCTGCGGGGGGCAGAAGGCGACCGAGTGCACCTCCAACACCTTGGCTTTGTCCCCTGGAGGATCTAGGGCCTCCACCGCCTCCTCCAGGCTGCCCAGGCCCTGCATCTGGGAGGCTTGGGTGCGGCTCTCGGCAGCCGTGTAACTCCGGAGCACCTGCCCCAGGGCCAAGTGGAACCCTGTGTCACAGCACTGGGGAGAAAGCAAGGACACAGCTCGGGCGGGCCCCAGGGCACTGGGCACCAGCTCCTGCGCCTGTCCACCTCGCACTCACGTCCATGAGGTCCAAGACGTCATACAAGTAGTAGTTGCTGACTGCGGCGTTGACACTGGCCAGGCTGAGCAGGTACTCGTTGCGTGCCTTCGTGCACTTCAGTTTGTGCTCCAAGAACTTGGCCTGACGCTGCTCAGGACCACATAAGTACAGCAGGGTCATCTACCCGGCCAT